GACAAATCCGATGACGATGAACTGGATTGTAATCCGATAGAAGCTGACGACGCGATGAAAGATCTGGAAGATTTTGGTAAGATTGACGACCCGATTGATTTATCGCAAATGATGTCGCAATTGAACAAAGACCAGAAAAGAGTCTTTGATGGAGTATGCCAAGTTTTACAAGATAAGAATCAGATTCTGCGACTGTACGTAAGTGGCGAGGGTGGTACAGGGAAAAGTTTTCTAATTGAAACGATTAAACATTGGATCAGAATAAATTTGGAAAAAACGACTGCCATATCTGCTCCCACGGGTATCGCAGCATTCAATATCGATGGCTTGACAATCCATAGAATGTTTCAACTACCCGTTAGTCATGAATCTACACCAAAATATACGCAATTGTCAGACATGGTCTTGAAAACTTTGAGAGACAAGTTAAAGAATGTCGAATTATTTATAATCGATGAAGTATCCATGATTTCAAATGTGACACTTATGTTTATCAATCTACGATTATGTGAAATCTTTGATACGACAGATACAGATGATGGTTTCTTTGGCAGAAAACACATTCTCCTGTTTGGGGACTTGTTGCAGCTTCCTCCTGTAAAAGGACAATTTTCGTTTGTTAAAATGTCTCGATCAGAGATTCAGAAGTATTTAGGTACCATGGGTGGATGTGATTTGTGGAGATTGTTCGAGTACGACGAACTTTTGATTAATATGCGACAAAGATGCGATAATACATATCGTGATATACTTTCTAGAATACGAATAGGTTTAGTAACGGATTCTGACATCAATGTTCTTCAGTCTAGAAGAATCAATTTTAAAGAAAGTAGTTGCGACGAAAGATTGAATGAACTTTGCACTTATATGAATCAATTACCGATTGATACAATTTGTTTATTGCCCACGTGTTATTTGTGCAAGGTTTTGAACACAGCAATGCTCGATAAAATCGACAGCGATGAAATTCTACTGATAGCAGAAGATGATGTCGACTGTGCTCCAGCAATGAAAAAAAAGGTGCATAAAATTTTAGAAGACAAAGATGATAAAGTGTCTGAAACAGCTGGCATTGAAAGAGTAATAGCGATTAAAATTGGCGCTAAAGTGATGATTCGACGAAACATTGACGTAACTTTGGGACTTGTCAATGGAACGATAGGCAATGTAGTTGCAGTTAATCGCTCTGCTGACGGCAATCGTATTGATTCCATCAAAATAGTTATTTCGGGTAACAAAAAATCGCAATAACGAAAGTAGATATTAAATTTGAAGTATTCCACAAATTAGTGGTACATCGGAAACAATTTCCATTGTCTCTCAGTTATGGAATAACTATACACAAAAGTCAAGGAATTACATGTAACAATGCAATGATGGATTTAGGAACGACTGTATTCAGTGATGGTCAAGCCTATGTAGGTTTGTCACGAGTAAGTAAATTGGAAGGCCTACATTTGATAAATTTCAATCCAGCATCAGTTAAAGCAAACTCGAGAGCCATTGTGGAATATAATCGACTGAGATCTATATTCAAATCTGAACTGCCACAAATCAATCGGTCCGAGAAAAAGGTTGTGAAAATGTACGATCGTCGATGGGCTATCCCTAATATCATTGATGATGTGCAGAATTATGATTGTGAGGAACCAGAAAGTATAGTTACGTGGAAAATATATGGCCTTTGCAATAACGATGCTGTTTCGTGTTACGCTAATGTAATATTACAATGTGCGTTTCATTGCGTACGTATTAGGCAACAAATACTGAAAAATAAAGCATCGAATGCATTGACTGATGCTATCTGCGCGTATGGTGAACGTAAATATTGCAACATTCAAGCGGTTAGAAGATCTGTCGGAAAACGCTTCGAAGAACGAACACAACAAGATGTTTCGGAATTTTTTACGGCTCTAATGTCGACGTATTCCGACATCAATGATGTATTAGAACTCGAATTAAAGCACGTAACATGTTGCTCGAATGTCAAATGTAATTACAATGTAACTAAGCTGGAAAGCAGTAGTTTGCTAATATTACCTATACATTCGACATTAAAAAGGAAAAAAGGTGTCACTCTACAAAGTTTGATTAATGTAGAATTTTCTAAATGGGAAACGATAAACGGCAATTGTAACGAATGTAAGGGTACCGTGTTGAAAAGGAAAACCGTAATCGAATCAACTTTATCCGTCGTAGTAATACAGCTCAATTTATATACTTTTGTAAACGGTGCTTCTAAAAAAATTATCAACAATCGGATTAACGCCGTGCCGACGAGTAATATCACGATTAATGAAAAAAAGTACAAGGTAATAAGCGCTATATTTCACGAAGGTGAAGAAATGAATCGTGGTCACTACACGTGTATGTTGAGAGCTGACACAAAATCGGAATGGTATTATTCTAATGATATGGAAGTGTTCAAGAAAAAATGGCCCAAAGGAGCACAAGGGGCATACATATTGTTCTTAGAACAGATTAAATAATGGCGCTGTATAAAGGCTGCCGTAAGCGCCGAAATGAAACATCGGCTGCTCTGGCGCTGTATAAAGGCTGCCGTAAGCGCCGAAATAAAACATCGGCTGCTCTGGCGCTGTATAAAGGCTGCCGTAAACGCTACATTAAAACATCAACTGTTCTAGCGCTGTATAAAAGTTGCCGTAAGCGCCAAAATAAAATATCGGCTGCTCTGGCGCTTTATAAAAGCTGCTGTAAGCGCTGCGTTAAAACGAGTGCAATAAGTTTCTAATTTGACCTAGGCTTCATGACATTTCAAAAAGTATCATCAAGAAAAAAATTATCAGACATAAATATGTATGTCGTGTTAAAATCGGAGAGACGAAGAAAAATATATGGTTGCGTTCTCACGAGAATGGGCGATGGAGGGGCCCATTCTTTATTTTCAATATTCATACAAGAATATAAATTCATTCTGTTGCAATTGAAATAAATGTGCAATGTATCGTTAAAAGTTATTACAATTATACAAACATTTACATATATGATTAAATAAAATATATATGTATACTATAATATAATTATATATTTTATATATGTACATATATACCATATATTTCAATTATTTTGAACTGTATTGCATAAATTGTTACTTATACAAAGTTATGTGATAAGAATCGAAAATACATATATTTGTGATACTTGAATTACTTTTAATTTATACATGAATTACTATTATAGAAAGCTGCTCTATATATCTGTACTTTAAAAAGTAAGTGATATCCTAAAAAAATCATAAAAATGAAAAGGTCGGGCCATGTTCAAAAAAAGAAGGTACTCAAAAATTTAAACGATCTAATAATAAATTATCACGAAAAGTAACTGATATGTTATTCAAGGTGCCAGTTCAAAGTGAACATACGTAAAGTGTATATTATCTAAATTTAGTAATAATATATTACCATGAAAAGTAACTGTGTTATTTTATTCAAGGTGCAAGTTCACATTGAACATACATACATACATATAAGTAAAACTGATTACAATTTGATTCTAGAAAATAAGTGCGATATGTTATTCTTAGTGCACAAAATATAATAGTCGTTTATAGAGATTTGATTTGAAATTCGTACTAGCCCGTACAATGAAAAATAATTGCTCGTAATTCCAGAGTACCAATTTGTTAATGACTCAGAAAAATAACATGGCGGCCTGCTCTCAAAAAACTTTCGATGGGTAGAATAAATAATTGAAATAAGAGTTGTGAAAATTGTATAAATTAAAAACCTCCAATCTTTCTTTAGTAAAATTTCGAATTTTCGTATCAACTTCCGATTTGTGTTATACCGTATTTTCAGGGAGTAAGTTATTGATCAGAAAACTTTGCCTTGTTGCTCGAAACGGGTGTGTATTAAGTAAAATTTATAAATCATTTTTATCATAAATAAAATCATTTCTATCATAAATAATATCTATTTATTAAAATTTTAGCAGATGTCTTTTAAATAGAAAATAGTGTCTTGCGATCATGAAGAATAGGTTTTGAATAGCAAGGTTTCATTTGACTTACAATTTTCTTCAGAAACACAGAAGAAAAAGGTATTTGTATATAGTTTTGTATATTTACTTCGTTGTGTGTAGAGCTTTTAAAAATACGTGGAATCCTTATTCTAATCTAATCTTCTTCTAATGTAATACTTTTCGTACTTCAAATGTTGTAGTAATTATTCTGTAAGAGCTTCGACATTATTTCTAAATGGACATCGAGAAACATCATATTTTTTTGAGAGCAGGCCGCCATGTTATTTTTCTGAGTCATTAACAAATTGGTACTCTGGAATTACGAGCAATTATTTTTCATTGTACGGGCTAGTACGAATTTCAAATCAAATCTCTATAAACGACTATTATATTTTGTGCACTAAGAATAACATATCGCACTTATTTTCTAGAATCAAATTGTAATCAGTTTTACTTATATGTATGTATGTATGTTCAATGTGAACTTGCACCTTGAATAAAATAACACAGTTACTTTTCATGGTAATATATTATTACTAAATTTAGATAATATACACTTTACGTATGTTCACTTTGAACTGGCACCTTGAATAACATATCAGTTACTTTTCGTGATAATTTATTATTAGATCGTTTAAATTTTTGAGTACCTTCTTTTTTTGAACATGGCCCGACCTTTTCATTTTTATGATTTTTTTAGGATTACCTTATATTAGATAATTAGAAAATTAAATATATATTATGTTGCTAAACGTCCAATCATTTTAGCAAATACTTACGTAATAGCAGGGCAGAGGCAGAAGTAATAAAAAAGTAAAATTCTACACGCAGATAACAAAGCACTAATTGCAGAGATAAGTATAAGATACCACTTTATACCACTCGGGGGACAATTTTATTCCACTCTTGCCTATATTCTTTTTCACATTTACATTTGTGAGTGTATGTATGTGTGCGTGCATGTGTGTGAATAGAAAATTTACTTCTTAAAAATGTATATTATCATAATACTACCATAGGTACTCGTTTGGGATTATTGCAAACAAAACTTGGGATTATTAAAATTTTGAGCAAATACGAAGTGACGCCATGCGAAAGGACTTTGATACCAATGGTAATTGATCCAAAAGCTCCTACGACAACACCATTAAGTGGCGGTCTGTACCTGAACATCCAGAAAATTAATAACGCTAATTAAAATTTGATGAGAGTTATTACTTTCAAGCTACAAGATGTACACGATTCGACTAATGCTCAGTAAAATTTTCTTTAATAGGAGAACGCGATTCGATGAACGCGTTAATTTATAAGACTTAAGATTATCAGAATATATTTATTAGAAAATATAAAACTATATTTAAAAATATAAAAGATGTAAATGATATTTAACACTAAGCCCTCATCATCATGATTCTTTAATCATTAAAATATATTCCTTTAAAAAAGACGTCACAGATGTAAAAAAAAACACTAAGTATATCTTTCGCCAGCAAGTTCCTTACAAAAATTAATCACCATCAATAATACTTTCTTAAAAATTATATTTTATTTTTATTAATAATATAAGAAAAAAATTTAAATATTAGCGTCAAAAAGTAGTAAAACTAAAAAATTGCACTAACAATAAGTAAATGACAATATAATATATGATATTTATAGGAATTTTCCATAATGATACAATGTATAATTATCACTTTATTTTAAAGTTTATAATATATATAATAATCAAGGTTGGGAAGTAACGCATTACTTGTAAGACCGTTACTGTTACAGTTACTTTTTTTGGTAACTGTAACGGTAACAACGTTACAATAATATATTGTGTATCAAGTGCGGAAAGTTGACAATTGGTCACGAGTGCGGGCAAACCTTTTGCATTAATGTTGAATTTGTATTATGTGCAAAATTTAATTTACTTAATTTTTTTATGTAAATAATTTTAATTTTCGCCTTCGGCTCGTGCGTCCATCCCACACGAGTGAACAATTGTCAATCCGCACTTGATACACACGATATTTTGTATTACAAGTGCAGGCAAAGTGGCTTTGTGCGCGTTTTCTGTGCGCGAGGTGGCCGATCGCACGCCGCCATCTTGCGACGGCACGGTACGGGAATAGCCGCAAGCAATGGCTTTGAATGCGGCTTATTCATTCACCGCGTCGCCGTTAGATGACGGCGTGGGAAATCAGCCTGTAGCGACTTATAAATAAATTCACCAGATTTAAAAAAAGAAAGTAATGTTTATTCATTGAAAGTATAAAGCAAAAGACAAAAAGAATTAATATATAACAAATAAATGAATGAATGTGTTGTTATGGAAATATATTTTTTTCTTAAAAAAAAAAATATGTTAATGAATTGAAGTTATTACAAATGTATAAAGATGTAAAAAGTGTAAAAGTGCAGTGAAAAGTGTAAGGTGTAATAAAAGTGTAGAGTGTAAATGAAAGGTGTGGATGATGAATGCTACAGTACTCCCCAAGTGACGATATTCGTTGCAAAATGGACTTTTTTCTTCTTTGGTGGGTAGGTACGTAGAGCTTTTCCAACAGTAGAAGAAGAAGAAGGATTTGAAGTAGCAGAAACAGGAGCTGAAGATCTGGTACAGGAAAGTTCAGTAGAATCTGAAGTTCTAGGAATGAAGGCTGGCTTGAGACGTTCTGTCGAAATATTGACAACTCTTCCTGAAACGTTAACTGCAAATAAATGATCAGAGATACGTTTCTCAATAGGAAAAGGGCCAGAATAAGAAGGTTGTAGTGACTTCCTAACAGCATCTTCTCGAATCCAAACATGAGTACAATCAAAAAGATTCTTGTGAACGAAAGGTGATCTTTTGCAATGATGACTTGTAGGAGATGATCTGATATTCCTCATATGAATCCTGTGTTTTTCAAGAAAGATTTCAGGATCTGCAGAAAAATCTTCTTCAATGAAAAATTCTCCAGGAATATGAAAAGTGGATCTATAAAGAAGTTCTGCTGGTGAAGCTTTTAAATCTTCTTTGAAACACGAACGTAATCCCAAAGGAACTGAAGGTAACGATTCTATCCAGTTGGTTGTTTCGTGGCACATAATCGCTGCTTTCAAAGTTCTATGTCATCTTTCCAGAATTCCATTTGAAGCAGGATGATAAGCAGAAGTTCTAATCCTTTGACAGCCAATTAGGTTTGTTAAAGCTTTGAATAAAGCTGCTTCAAACTGAGGACCTTGATCTGTTGTAATGCTGATAGGAGAACCAAAACGCGCTACCCAATGTGAATAAAATGTTGTAGAAACAGTTTCAGCAGAAATCTCAGAAATAGGAACAGCTTCAGGCCATCTGGAAAAACGATCAATCATAGTAAGACAATAACGGTAATTTTGACAAATAGGAAGTGGTCCAACAATGTCTAAATGCACATGCTGAAAGCGTTGATCAGGAATTGCAATCTTAATTGGAGAATTCTTGGTGTGTCTTGAAATCTTCGCACGTTGACATGGAAGACAAGTTCGAGTCCATTCCTTCACATCTTTCTTCAAAGAAGGCCAAATGAATTTCAGTAGTAATTGTTTAGATGTCAATCTACCGCTGGGGTGAGCGAGTCCATGAACAACATCAAAAATTCTCTTGCGTAAGAGTTTAGGAACATATGGACGAATTAATTCCGAAGAGCAATCACAATAAATAGGTATGGTTGATCCTGAAAGAATAAGTTTCTTCAACAGAAGTGAAGAATTTGAAGAAAGTAAAACTTGAAGTTCTTCATCTTCTTTCTGATAATTAGCAAGTTCTTCTAAAGAAACTATAATAGGCATTGAAATAGATTCAATTCTTGACAGAGCATCAGCAACTGAATTTATTTTTCCAGAAATATAGGTAATATTTGTAGAGAATTGAGCAATAAAGTCCAATTGTCTGATCTGTCTTGGTGACGCTTTATCCAATTTCTGACGGAAAGCAAAAATCAAAGGTTTATGATCAGTTCTGATAATAAGTTGTCTTTCTTCAACAAAATGCTTGAAATGTTTAATAGCCAAATAAATGCTAAGAAGTTCTCTATCATAAGTGCTATAATTTCTTTGAGCTTTGTCTAGTTTCTTTGAGAAAAATGCTATTGGTTTGATATCGTCGTCAATAGACTGTTCAAGTGATGCACCAACAGCAAAGTCAGAAGCATCACAAGTTAAAATAAGAGGAGCATGAGGAGCAGGATGAGAAAGGGTAGTAACTTGTAAAAGTTCTTCTTTACATGACTCGAAAGCTAATTCCGCTTCTTTAGTCCAAGAAATAATTCTTCTATCTCTCTTGCGACTGTCCTTTAAATATTCTGTTAACAGAGCTTGATGATTTGCAGCATCCTTGAGACAGCGACGATAATAATTGATAATTCCTAAGAATCTGCGTAATTCATGAAGTGTCTTAGGTTTAGGATAATCAATAATTGATTTCACTTTTTCGGATGTAGGTTTAACTCCTTGGTTAGAAACTAAGTAACCAAGAAAAGAAATCTCGCTTTGACCGAAAAAACATTTAGCGACATTGATTGTCATTCCAGCTTGTTGAAGACGATCAAAAATAATGCGTAAGTGAGCAATATGTTCTTTCTCGTCTTTAGAAGCGATAAGAATGTCATCAAGATAACAAAAGGCAAAACTCAAATCATTAAGTAAAGACTTTTGGACCAATATTTTTCTCGCCTATTTCTTTACAGGGGATGTTAAGAGAAGGAACAAGGGAAATTTTTGAGATCCTAACCATAGGATTCAAATTCCTTTTTCAAATGTTCTTTCTTTCATAAGTGTCGCAATAACATCGCGTTTGGCTCTATTGGTCGAGAGGAATCAAGTGGAGATTGTGGCTTTAAAAATTAAAAGAGCTGACTTAATAAGTATTTCATTATTGTTCGTCGCGTCTGGACCTAATTACGACGCTTTGGGTGGGTGAGGGGGTATAAACATTGAGAATAATATTTGTTCGTAAGTGTCTGAATAGCTCAGTTGGAAGAGCAGTCGCCCGGCAAGCGGAAGGTCTCGGGTTCGAGTCCCGATTCAGCCGACTTTCGGACCAATATTTTTCTTGCCTATTTCTTTACAGGGGATGTTAAGAGAAGGAACAAGGGGAATTTTTGAGATCCCAACCATAGGATTCAAATTCCTTTTTCAAATGTTCTTTCTTTCATAAGTGTCGCAATAACATTGCGTTTGGCTCTATTGGTCGAGAGGAATCAAGTGGAGATTGTGGCATTAAGTAAAGAGTTCATGAGCCGTTGAAAAGTTTGGGCTGCGTTTCGTAAACCGAAAGGCATTACGACAAATTCAAAAAGCCCAAATGGATTAGTGACAGCTGTTTTGTGAATATCTTCTTTAGCGACGGGTACTTGATAGTACGCTTTAACTAAGTCGATTTTAGAAAAGATATTCTTACCAAAAAGTGAAGAAGAAAAATCTTGAATATGAGGTAAGGGATAACGATCCGGGATAGTCACTGAATTGAGTGCACGATAATCACCACACAGTCTCCAAGAATTTTGTTCCTTTTTAGGTACCATATGTAGAGGGGCTGCCCAGGAGCTGCTTGAAGGCCTGCAAATTCCTTGCTCCATCATAGACTTGAATTCTTCCTTGGCACATTTAAGTTTCTCAGGAGTAAGTCTTCTGGGAGTCGAAAATGTAGGAGAACCTTCTGTAAAGATATGATGTTCAACACCATGCGTTTTTACCGAGGAAATTGGAGAAAAACGAGTGAGTCCTGGAAATTCAGTTAAAAATTTGTGGTACACAGAATCAGGAGATGTGGTAAAAATTGACAAATGCGCAACTTCTTGAATTTTTCCAGTATTCATAAGACCGGTAACGTTATCAATCAATTTCTTGTTTTTAATGTCAATCAGGAGATTAAAATGACAAAGGAAATCGGCGCCTAAAATAGGACGTTGAATATCCGCGACACAAAATTTCCATTTGAATTCTCTCCTAAGACCGAGGTTCAAAATTAAAGTTTTAGAACCGTAAGTACTAATTTGAGTACCATTTGCGGCAAAAAGTTTTAAATTAGTATGCCACGGCTTCAATAAAACCCTTTTAGGTAACAACGATATATCAGCGCCCGTATCGACAAGAAAATTCAAATTTGAATGTCTGTCGAAAATAATGAGGCGATTGTTAGAAACACCGTCGTAAGCAGCCTCAGTCTTAAACGGCGTTTTTAGTTTTCCTGTGAAGCCAAGAATGTTTTGGACATAGAACAAGGTAAAGTACATCGTTTAGCCTTATCACCAAACTTCTTATGGTAAAAGCAAACTGATGTATCTTTAATATCTTTATTTGATTTGTCTTTGTTACGCGATAACGATCTAAATCTTCTATTCTCTCTAGACCGGCTTTTGGAACGATCTCGACGACGAGAAACTTCAAGAGCTTCGATTCTTCGTAGCAAATCCGCGAAATCCGAAGATTTATTATTTG